AACCTTGGTAGGTTTTTCTGGCTCTCTAGGTTTAACTAGATATATATATTATATAAAAGAGAACTATTACAAAGTGTAAAAAATTTTCATAACACATTTTGTCCTCTAAGACTTCTTCACATAAAATGATGTTTATGTTGATGCAACTACACATGGTGCACAAATGAGAGAGGACACAGAATTTTAAATTCAAATATTTTTTTTTAAAAATATGTTTTGGCCATATAGTCTAGCTGATTTCACTTAGTTGTTTTTTTTTTTATTCACATTTCTATCACTTTTGTTATTAAATATCCCACACTGTGATAATAGAAGATCTGCCAAGTATATAATTTATTACTGGAAAAATATTGATTCGTTTAAAAAAAAATGTCATGTTAATCTCATAGAAATACTGCAAAACATGGTTGCTTTAATAGGAAAGACTTGAGCATCTCAGAAAAAGGAAAGCCATTACAAATCATTGCAAGTACTAAACCAGGAAGCACATATATATATACCATATGGTGAATTTCCTAAAGAAAGTAATGGATTTTTATTAATCTGCCAGATTGTTTATCACTTTAAACGTTATTTTTAGTGGATACTTGTATTCGAGTAGATGCTTTGTTTATTTATTAAACAGTATATTTATTTATTTTCGTCTGCCAGCCTGAATGTTTGAAAATATTCTTAAGGAAAAAATCATGGTGTGAATTTTTTTTTATGTATCTATACTGCACAATTATGTTTGGTTTGTTCTAAGCATGAGGATTCATTTTTAGTAATAAAGAAGTGAGTATCCTCATCTGTCATTAGACTTTTATGGCTAAGATTCACTATTCTATATCCACAGGGGCAAATCACCTCTGTATTCCATTTGTAAGAAGGAAGTTCCACTCAGGCAGCTTCTTACCAAGAACTGCTAGTTTATGGAACAGACTCCTGAGTGAATGCTGCCCTGTACACTACAATCATAATCTCTTCAAGTTTAAGGTCAATTGTTATATATTATCCATATTCTCACAATCTTCACTTCCTGCTTATGTTCATATCACACACCTTATTCTGTAACCTTCTACCTTAGGTGGCTCTTGGACCTGGTATTGAGTGAACATTAATTAAATAAATAAAATAAAATAGATCAGTTTTCCTACAAGAAGGATTAGTTTTAGATTTATTTTCCATATGTCTAAAAATACTTGGATAGGAGCAATCCAAAAGATCCCATTTGCTGTTAGTGAAATAACATCATGACGTTATAAAATAGAAGTTGTTGATCTTATTGCATCTTATATGATAAAGTTGATTTTGTGAACATAACAGGACAAAAAGAGAGTAAACTTGAGACCCTATTTTTTTTCTAGGATAACAGTAAGTGTGGTGACATGTAGATTAACTAATTAACATAGCTGAAATAGCCAGGCAATATCACTACTCTGATTTGGAGGAGGAAAACTGTTAAGCATGAGCATTGAGTAGTAACACAAAGGACTTAGGACTTTGCAACAGTAAACCTCAACCTCAACAGCCATACCAAATAAATCTGCTTCAAGCAGAATTTACACAATTACATTGCTTTATAATATTTAGTACATTCACAGAAGAGAAAACAATATGACTCAATTTAAAAGACTTCTTCCTAAATTCCTTAAAAATTAAGAAATCAGAGAGCTCAAAGTATGTGCAATATTTGTATCACAAGAAATAATTGTTATCAATTCTGTAGCTTTTATTAGAAAGTGCATGTGTTGAGAAAGGAGAGAATAGGCGGAGAGTTTGAGAAATTTATTTTATGCAAGAAGAAAGATTTAAATAAGAGGATAAATTCTTCTAACCAGAAGGGCATGAGACATTTTTTGGGTAATGAGAGTAAAATTCTTTTGTATAGGTCTGGTTAAAGAGAAGAAAAAGTTCTAAAACAATGTTATCCTTAACTGGAAATTTTCTTTTCATGGAGAGACTTGAAACAACATTTTAAAATATCAAAGATTTTCACATATTCCATTTATTGAACTTTTTTTTTTTTAACTTCTTTAGAATCAAGTTTTGAAAGTCTGGAATTTATTTTCTTCAGTGGATTACTTTTGGTTTACATTTCAGCTGTTTTGGAAGTGCGACACAAGAAGGACAATACAGAAAGTAAGATAATAAATAGCAGGTTTGAGTAATAAAATACATTGGTGAGATTCACAACTGAAATGATTCATAAGTTAGATGAAAAAGTGAAAAACACTGAAATTAGCAGTTTTTGACAAAATACCATCAAATTCTAAACTGATCTAAAGAGGGGCCATATTGTGGAATGATAGAATATGTGATTGATAATTTTAAATTTTGTTCCAAGCCACTCTATGAAATTAATATGAAGCTGATCTAGAGAGGTCATGTAGTCACATATAAGGTTTTGGTAATTTTGGCAAATAGGAAACATAATTGGAATTGTGGAACTAGGTCATTAGCAAGTGTCATTTATTACTTTGGAAATAACCAGACTAACTGCAAATAGATGAGGGATAAAATTACAAAACTGATTTCATTTATCAATCTACTGATTATCAATGGGCCAGGAAGAGTGTCAGGCTTATGGAACCCAACTACTTAAAAGTGTTTTATAACAAGTTTTCCATATATCTGCCAGTTTAAATAAGCTCTTTGGACAAAGCCATGATGAGGCAAAGGTGTGCCATTTCCAAATAATGACATCAACAGACAGTGGAAAGTATTCCAAGTCACTTGTCCCAGATTTGTCTCCATTTTGATCAATGTAAAAATATTCTCAGAATCTTATATTTCCAATTAACAAAGGCAAGAAATCTCAATTAGTACTTTTTCTATCTTGAGATATATTCAGCCAATGATATCTTTTTACTTAAATTATTTTAAAACCAATTGTCTAGAAACAAGCTAGACAATCACAGCAACTGTCCTGTGTAAACCAGTCATCTCCTCACTACAACAGCCAGCAATGATCAGTCACAAGAGAAGCATAAGGTGCTTGGGAAAGGTTTACAGGTAGTCAGCTATTTTTTTTTTTTTTCCAAGTATTCTTATTTTGCTTTTCAAAAGTAAAATAAAGCATGGTGATAAAAAGATAACAATGAGAAAATTTAACACAGGGATTTTAGAATACCAATCAATAGCACACAAAACACATATATATATATATATATATATATATATATATATATATATATATATATATATATATATATTATATCAATATTAATTGGTAAAAGTGCCCAATTTCAAAGATTGAGCATCAACATTAATTGGCGACAATCTGTTTCATGCTTCAAAACAATCTGCAACTCATGAAGTTGACCTGTTCTAGCATAAAAACACACAACACATGTACCTCATGTATATATATATATATATATATATATATATATATATATATATATATATATATATTTCAACCAGAATTTTGACTTAAAGCAAAATTTATTAAAATTCTGACAGATTACTTTTTTCAGAGTTTAATTGGTTGGATTAAACCTGTCACAATTTGCTTCAGATAAACTCTGTTCATTCAATAAACTTTATCATTTCTTCAAATGATGAACCTTTTATAATAAATATATATTATGTAAACAGAAAGTTGTTTAATATGCCAACACGTGTATAGAACATTCTAGAATTATATATAATGGTGATTTTTGGATGATTGAAACAAGAAAATGTGGAGAAAGGAAAAGTAAATGATTGTGCTGTAATTTCATAAGAAATTACTTTCAAATAATGGCTATACAATAATTGGAACACACTTTTGAGTTTACAATCCTGGTTAGAAAAAAGTAGGAAATGCCCATTAGTATTGGAGTAACTTGGATACTGATAGGCATTTTCTTACTTATACTGAATAGCATCTCTTAACTGTCATGCTTGTTATTGCCGTCATTTGGCTCTGTAGAAAAAAGATCACATCTAGAGTTGAACACAAAGGTATTGGCTTCAAATCCTAAATTATTCAACATTCTAATGAAGTCAGTAGCTTTTATGATTAAAATACAAAATAAAAATGTATATAAAATATGAAACAGTTTACTATACACGTTTTAACCAGGTTTTAAAATTAAAAATTTAATTTCACATGCAAAAGTAATAAATAATAAAGAAAAAAACAATAAGTGTATCTCTAATAAAGGACACGGTAAAGCTAATAATTGATTTGGATGCAGGAGTAACAACAACAACAACAACAGTAGTGATGGCAGATGATTATGAGCTGTGGATTTACTGAACAAGAAAACACAGACTTCTCCACATGCTCTAACACTGATTCCTAGATCACGCTTACATGTGATGGTAGTGTAGTGATGGTCATAGTGGAAATATCAGGTGGTCTAGTTTTGCTTTTACAAGACTCCTACCAGTTGAAAGGTGTTCAATATGGCAAACAACAATGGCTATAGTGACAAAGATCAAAATAAGTGATGCTGAAAAGAAGGTAGGCAAGAGTTAAAGAAAACAAACAGAAACACTCAGCCCTAGCAGAGAGGAAGAAGAGAAGGAGGTAAATAGCAGCAGCAGTAATAGTAGATGCAGCAGTAGTAACCATGATATCACTTAGATATCATCAACAGCAGTAGTGCTGGTTATCTCATCCACTGGATTGTACAGAGATATAATAAAGAATTAGACTGATCATTATGTTGAATGCTTAGAAAAGACAAACAGAAAACAATGTTTTCTTTGGTGGGAGGAAAGGAAAAACAAAAAAAAAAAAAAAAAAAAAAAAAAAAACAACTTTTTTTTTTCTTGCTGAAACACATTTAGGCAGATTTTCCTCACCATAGGAATTTTTTTCTCAGAGTGAAATAAAAATACAATGGATGTTGAGAGTATTTCATAAAATAGTGAGGATTAGAAAAAAAGCACCGCAGAAAGATCTGGAAGAGTTTTAGATTGGGATTTGTGTTGCTATCTCTTTTCTTCCTTTCAGCATTTCACAAAGCTGTTAAATTAGCTTTCTAGTCAAGATAGGAGGAGAACACTAGCCACTTTGGAAATGCATTTTAATTGACTCTTAGTGTGTGAGATTCCATAGGAGCTGCAGAGTCATAGAGTGTATCTGTATCCTGAGTCGGCTCACCCTGTAATTTGCATTGATTGTTAAGAGTCCCTGCTCCACAATCACAAAAAAAGCGGTCATGGCGAATGAACTCCACCTCATGCCCAGCATGGCAGTTCTTTATACAGTTTACACAAATCGCATTACGATCTGTTGTGTTGCATGTCCGACATCTGAAAAAGAAGAAATGCAATAAATGCAGATTACATACAATTCTTTAGGAAGATATTTCTTTTTAAACTTGATCACAACAAATTGCTGTAAATTTTGACTATATAGTTTATTAAAAAATATCAAAATTTCAAACAAATCTCAAGTTGTATAAATAAATAAATAGATAAAAAGAAGTCACTAAAGGGATTTGACAATTGCAGAAAAAAACCTATTTTCTTTAAAAAAAATAACAGTATTAGCTCTTAAGGATGTATAGGTATAATGGTTATCAACTCGTAAAATGAAATTGGCAGACAGAGTTCAAATTCTGGCCAACGATGTTACATTCACTTTGCACTAATGCCCTTGGAAAATGGCATGAAGCTATCTCTCCCCCCCACAACTATAAGTTAAACAGAAGAACAGACTAGGCTCTCTATTATTGGTTGGCAACCAGACTAGGTGGTCAAGTCTGAATTCAAAACAACAGAAGACAATAGGAAATTGCTTCACGATCTTTACCCAAAACACTTATGGTAATAATTAGTTTAGAGATGCAAAAAAGGTAAGCCATCAAGAGTTATGATAGCATATATTCTGAAGGGAGATGATGTTTATATATATATATATATATATATATATATATATATATATATATATAGATAGATATCTAAGTGCAAAAGAAACTTATATTTCTGTAATAAAATAAAGCAATTGTTTTTACAAAAATTTAAAGCAAATTGTGTGAAAAAAATTATTAAAATCTTAAAGTAATGATATAATTTATCATCGTTTTAATAATGAAAAAGCAAGCTAGGCACAAAAGATAATTACCATCTTTGATATTGGATGAAAATGCTTAAACATTTAAACCAGTGGTTCCCAACCTTTTTTGGGTCATTACCCACTTAAGCATCTCTAAAATCCTGATGAAAACACACACACTGTGACATATAATTTTATTATTCAAAAAAAAAAGGAGGGAGACTAAAAGGCTGTTAACTTGGTCTAAACAAGCTTTCAAAGAACATGGCATCCATGAAAGAGAAAAATAAAAGAATGAAAGGACAGCTAAAGTACTGAAGAAGAAATTATTAGGAAATTGTTAAAAAGAAATAATAATATGAAGTGATATTATGATAATAATAAAAGAGTATTCACTAGTAATAAAGAGGGAGAGCATGAAAATAGAATATTGAAATATTGGAGGATTATCTCGTATGAAAACTGCAAATAAAGTTTCAAAACATAATAGAAAACTGAAATGTATAAAATAAGTTTCCTTAAGAACTTGAGACTGCATACAAGCAATAGTATTATCATTGAATTTTAGAATTTTACAATATTTATATTTATTAATATATATATATATATATATATATATATATATATATATATATATATATATATATATATTTTGAACAATAAAAAATATTAAAAAATTAATATTTTCAGTCACATTGGGTTGTATATTTATATTTTTTGTTTTATCATTTCAATTAGGTTCCTCAACTAGTTTCAGCCAGCATGGCCATCATCAGGAGAAAAAAAAAGCTCTGCTTGTTAGTAGCAGGAGTGAATGAATGTTTATGAAGAAAATGGACTTTATCTGTAGTTTTCATTTGTTTTATTTACCTATTAGAATGCACACTATGCCAGAAACAATATGTGGGAAAATCTGAATGGCCCTTTCACTACAGAATTAATAATTATCAGAATCAGATCAAGTCGACTCCCCCATGAAAGATTATTACCTGTAGAACAACATTTCCACCTAGAGAAACAGGATTTTAAAAGCCATGTCAAATTCACTATAATTGAAAAAATAGACAGGAAAAATAAGCTTAGAAAAATATTAGAACATGAAGACAAATGGATTTTGCACCTCAAAACACTTCATCCAGATGGGCTTAGCCACAAATTCAACAACATAGAATTAATATATAACCCCATAAATCAAGCCCTAACCACATTTCTCACCCACACAATAGGCATGCTGGCAAAGGTGTTGAGGTTTCACTTATACACACACTCATACCAATATACAGATTTACATACATCATACATACTCTCAAAGAATTAAAAAATAACATACACTTAACACATGCATCCCCCTCCCAGCAACCAATAAAACTGTCAAAATGACCAAGAAGGGAATTCTGTGACTCATGAATCTTAAAAACAACTTGAAAGAGGCTGTTTGACCAACACAAGGACTGACCAAAATATATATTTTATACTAATAATTATACTCGGTTGGTAAAAAACCTCAGATAGCACAACTTGCAAGTATATCAAAACAAATTGTTGATATCTGAGGAAAAAATTGGGAAAAAAATAAAGAAGAAAGTACTAGAAATGTCTGAACAGGGAAAAAAAAAATGTCCCGTGCCTTAAGTTTCCAGTCCAAAGAAAAAACCCCAAACGAGTAACTAAGCTAAAACGTAGAATGCTCAATACACTAAGCAGAGCAAAGATAAATAAAATAAATCCTAAAGAGCCAGGAACTACCTACCTAGGTTTCACCTGAATGGATCTTCAGGGTAATCCAGATTACCCTGAACATCCATTCAGGTGAAACCTAGGTAATAATAGTTCCTGATTTTATAAATTTATTTTGTATATATATACACACAAATATATATATATATATATATATATATATATATATATATATATATATATATATATATATATATATATACCATACATATTAACCCATCTCTCTCTCTCTCTCTCTCACTCACACACACACACACACACAGAGACTCAGTAGAAAAAAAAATTACTGTTAATAACTCATTCTCAAATTGTCCCCCATTAAAAATCAAATTGCCCCACATTGGGAACCTCTGCTCCAAAAGGTTTACTCACTAGCTTACTGCAGGAATTGGTCTGGTGAATCCAATTGAAAGGATTACTTCCATTCTACAGATTAACAATAGATGATGATAGTAGAGATTTAATGCTGAAGGATGCTTTAAATATACCAAGTGAGATGAAGTTAAACACAAGCAACAACTATTTACAGACATTAAAACTAATAAAAAAAAAATCTATTTTCAACTAAATAAATTTCATTATTTTGAAAATATATTTTTTTTTAATTTCTAAGAGGATTTAAAAAAAAAATAAATATGCCTACCTGTAGAAATCATGCATAGGAAAACTTGTGTAGCTAGAAATTTTATAGAGACATTGACCAGAATCAACAGTTTTTTCCACCATATTATGATTGCCTGTGATGATATTATCTGAAAAATGAAAATAGGCAGAGATAGAGAATAGAACATTGTTTTTGAGGACTCCAAATTACTTTAAAAATTATTTGAAATAAAATACTGAAGGAACAATATTTACATGTTTGATGTTTGCATGTCATTAAATGTTGATAATCTTATAATTATTATTTTTGAAAAATTGGAATCTACATTTAACAAATTTCTATAACTGTAAAGAAGAATCTACAGAAAAACAGCAAGTAATCAAATTACAAACCTTTCAAAATGGGTTTGACTCCACTTGCAAGACAGAGACCACCAAATTTATTATTAAATATTTTGTTTTCCTCCAAAGTAGCTGTTGCGTTGTTAGTAATTTCAAGACCAGCTGCAAGTCCATCAAAGATTCGATTTCGACGTAATGATGGCTGACTTTGAGTACTGATAAGAACTCCAGCTTGAGCATTCTGGAAGATGTCATTCTCTTCAAGAATTCCTACAGAGAACACACAATATGTATGTAAGCAAGCAAATTGCTTATAATACACAACCATCTATAAAAAATCTGTTCATATATCAAAAGTCAGCATAGTTTTGTGCCAGAATAGAAAAACCTCAAAGAGTTAACCAACTACCCACTTAGCCATAAAGCTTGCCTTTTGTGTTTATGTCTCTCTACTCACAATTAATTACATTTCTCATGATAAACATAATTCCATAAATTTCTAACCTAATATTTGGTGGTAAAATGACTCCCTTACCCACAAAGAGCTCAACAGAAATATTTGTTCCCAAGATATAAATCTATATCAGTGACAGAGAGAGAAATCAGCAGCAGCTGGAAATACTGAACTGCACATTACATTATAACTTTTTCTTTTTTAAGGCAAGGAGAAAATACAGGTTATATGCTAGATCCTTCACTTCAAATTTGAGAGTCATGAAATTTATACCAGAGAAAATAAAAACAAACATTTTCAATCTCTCTGATGTCTAAAAGATAGTGAGGCTTTGTCAACAGTCTTTTTAGGTTTACTATAGAAGATAAAATATTTGAAAGAATCTTCTCTAAAAGCAACAAGCATCTGGACAGTTACATCTGACATGTGTCCAAAGTCTTGGATGCAACATCACATCACAGTGGAATTAAAAGTAACCATTAATAGAAATCAACCAATAATTGAACATGGTTTCAGGAGTTAAAACCTAAAAGAGACATAACCTCTTTATTTGAAATAAACTTTATAATTAACTATTTATGAAATATATTTATAACCACAAATCAGTTATGATAACCAATAATATTTTTAAAAGAAACCAAATCTAGAAACATTTTTCTAAAGTCAATTTCAATCAGCAATATAGACTCTTGTTTCAAGGAGACACTTGAGTAAATGTTAAGTTGATTTTAGGCCAATTTCTCCTAGTAAATGAAGAATTCCAAATAAAAATGTTATACAATTACAAAATTGAGAAAAATGGATAAATTATGATTTATCTGTACATTGATACCTTTAGGAATCAAGTAACATCAAAGTTAGAGTTTATCAAGTCTGATGATTTGTCATTTCTTACTAAATAGTGAAGTAAACAGACCAAACTCATCTTATCCAAATTCCAATTATATCTTCATTACATTTGGAAGGAGAATTCTTTCCTCATAGTCTGAGAAAGTAAATTGAGAGAAATAACACTATCAACAGCACCAATATAATGGTAGGTTTAAAAACCAGTTTAAAAAAAAATTGATTTCAAGGACATAAAAACAGTTTTCAGGGTACTAAATACTTCTTAATCTCAACTATCAATAAAAATTCCTTCAACAATTATGCTCAAGATGAACAACTTTCAAAGTAAATTCTTATTTTTCTCTTAAATCACCTCAAGTTTGCTTTATGGTATAGTAGTGATGCTAAATTCTTGGCCCATCAAAAAACAAAAAAACAACAATGTTTGGTTATTTGTGAGATTTGGGAAATGGATTGGGCAGAGGGTTTTTCAGCATTGCCTCAGTTTATTTTTCTGACATTTTATTTTCAAAAAACATTCTTTTAAGGATTAAACATAATAACCCAACAATATATATTATATACAAAAGCTTACAAGAAAATAGAAATTAATCACATTGGTCCAGTTAAAAATAAAGAAATAAGTTTAATAACTGTTTAAACTAAAAGAATCCTCACTGAAATACATGAATTGTTAGAGCAATGGTTAGATTCAAATTGAAAAACGTATTAAATGATATACAAGTGTCAACTCATGTAATAACAGTCCAATTTAGTGGAATTTCAGATTTCCATTTTGATGTGAAGACAAAAAAATTTACATAAAAATACAATTTTTATCCCAGCTCTAGTTTATTTTCTTAATTGTTGATGGACATAATTGAGCAAATCTTGGGTAACGTTCTAAAAGCTATGTTGGAAAATAGCTGATCCTTACACAAAAAATGCAGTTGGCTATATTTGATTATTCAGAAAGTGTTCCATTATTTAAAGTTATTTAATATGCATTTTGTTGTGTGAATTGCAATCGGTTGAATTGCTTTTAGTTAAAGCTAAAATAATAAAATAATCTATTAAAAAGAAAGCGTAACTGCCAAAAGTTTTGATCCTTATAAGTTCAAAATATATCCTGTTTCTTAGTTTTTATAAATTATAACACAGAATGTCTTTTCAGTAAAATTCACAAAATCATAATTATTAATCCAATTGACAATAAACTCTCTCTCTCTCTCTCTCTCTATATATATATATAATTTATTCAAAAATTATAACAAATGTTATTATTATTGAATAAATTATATTTTCTCTACTCTGTATTGAGCACTCTTTTAAGAATAGTATTTTTTTGAATTTATTCCATATACACCAATCCTATACTTGGGTATATATATATATATATATTTCAATTTTAGTCCAGTTTTAATTCATGAACTAATTTCTTTCTTTCCTTGCACTATTTAAGGTGGGAAAAAAAAGACTGATCAAGTTGAGAAAAATATCAGAATCTTAATCCTAATTAACACTCTAAGAAATATACTTTATTTTTTTCAGTATCAATTCCTGAAGTATGAAAAGGGCTTTATAAAACTTTGACTGTGAATCTCTAAGAAAATTATGACAATTATTAAAAACCAAGTTATTCTCAGTTAATATAGACATCACAATTTTCTACAATATACCTGAGACCAAGACCATACATATTATGGATCATTGTCAAATGGTATATGAGCTAATAGGAAAACAAGAGATCAACTAGGAGTGGGTTGATTTTGAAATTATGCATGCATACATACATACATATTACTTAAACATTATTTTTAGAGGATACTCATATTTGAGTAGATGTTGCATTTATTTATTAAACAGTAGATTTATTTATTTTTGTCTACTGGCCTAAATACTTGAGAAAACTTATTAGAGAATTATATGCACTGTCAAAAAGCACGTATTTCTCTAAGATTTCTTGAATATTCAGGCTGGTATACGAGTATCCACTAAAAATATAGTTTAAGTAACAAAAATTTGTTGGATTAATAAATAAAAAATCCATCCCTTTCATTCATGAATATATACATATATATATATATATATATATATATTCTCAAAAATTCCAATGCATTTTTCTTGTGCGCAGTTTTGTTTTTCATTCCAACTTGAAGGTGCTGAACTTAACATGCAGTGTAGGCAAAATGCATCATTAAAAAGCTTTTTCCACTTTGTGTGTGTGTGTGTGTGTGTGTGTGTGTGTGTGTGTGTGAGAGAGAGACCTTATTTTCACTTTTTTTTTTTTAATCTAAAATTTTCAGGTGCCTATCAGGAATAATACAATCATGAAAATGTTTCAATTTTATTGTTTTTGGAATATATATATATATATATATATATATATATAGATGAGCAAGCAAAAAAGATAGCTTATTAAAAAGAATTTTACCTTTTCCTCCATTAAATATACAGATGCCTCCATCTCTTCCATCATGGATTTTGTTGTTTCGTAACACTGGGTTACTGTCCGTCTTGATCCAGACACCTGCCATAGCATTATCAAAGATTTCATTATGTGCAATCATACCAAGTCCACTATTGTACACAAGGATGCCGCCATTTTGGCCACCCCATATTTTGTTCAGCCGGATTAAAGGATTGCTCCCAGTCCTGGCATAAAACAGAAATAAAATCTTTACAATCACTCTTGAATATGTAAAAACACACAATATTTAAAAACAATATAAGCAAGAGTTAAATGATTCTTGCCCAAATACGGTAAATAAAGTAACTTTGTTAGATGAGATTTTACTGAATTTCTGAAGAGTTCAATCCCACGCCTAAAAATGCCCTTCCAAGTCAAAAAGTAAAATAAAATCAAATATATTCTCTACTGTATGACAACTGATAAGAGAATATCAAGAAAAATTTTGGAAAAGAAGTGACACGGAGACTAAAATCAAATATTATAATGAAGAGAAACCATTTTATTTATGGAGGTAGAAATAAAAACAAAGTAATGAGTATTGATAAAGAAATTTATCCAACATTGATAAAATAGAACAAAACAATTACATTCAAAAGTTAAAGATTTCAAACATTTTGTACATTGCAGTCTAAAAGATATATAAATATAATTTTCTTTCTTCACCAGCTTACTTTCACAACGTTATTATCATTTTAGATTAGAGATGAAAATATAAAAATCTTTACCTTATCTGAACTCCTGAATATAAGTGATTGAAAATATCATTGTCTTCAAGGACTCCATGCCCATTATCATAGAAATAGACTCCGACCTGCAACAAAGAAATAAAGACTGAAAATAATATTACATTATTGTAAAATCATAACAAGAAAAAAAAATTAAATTGCAAGCCAAATTCAATTTAAATAAGTATTTAAGTTAACAACCACTATTCTTTTAGTAAAATATCATAAAATTTTATTAAAAAAGTGCCATATAATTATCCATTTTAGCATATATAATTACTGAAAGATATTTGTCTCTCGTATTTTACAAATATACATGTATATCAATAATGGATGATAGATTTTTAAGAACTATAAAAATAAGTTGCCTTCACATGAGTAAAGATAAGGATTATATAAAATCTAATATGACTATATTATATGCTAAGTGTGATTTTTTTTGTCTGTAATAATGTCTCAAATCTTAATAGAGGAATTATCTTCCTTGAACTACTAAAATGAGCAGTTAGTGTCTTTGTTAAAACAATGGCAAAATGTTGATGCTTACAAGACTGGAAGCTGAGAAAAGCAACTCCATGAAAGTATCAAGGTGCACAACAACAGTAATAATATTTAAAATGTCATCATTTTGATGGCATGGGTAACTAGTTATTTATAATCAAAAAGCAGCAAATCAATTTGAGGACTAAAATCTATTATATAAAAGGTTCAAAAAGTAACTCAAATACAAAAGAAAAAATGGAGATAAAAATGAAAAGTTTTAAGGAAGACATTAGATATCTTCCTTTGAACATTTTCAGTAAACATTTAGATCAACTTTCATTAAGTAAATTTCAGAAAATCCTAAATTCAAAAAACATCCTTTTTATAGTTTAAAAGGTGTAATAATTTTAATGCTTTCTCTTTCAATAACACCTTCCAAAGTAAAACCTATGAAAAGAGACATTAGCAAATATGTCTACTCTTAGGTACTACTGTTTTTGAGGAAATTTTCTCCCTCTTACCACTACCTTATTAAGAGCACCCAATTTATTAATTTTGTACTTTTTGACCAATAAATGATTTTCTGATATCCTTTTATTAAGATGGTCTGTTTATTGCAAATCAAGAGAAATTCCAACCCCTCTACAAATTATTAAGACATCCCCTTGTATTAATCAGGTAAGAGTAGTAGTAATTAAACTTAAAAAAGTTGCTGAAATGTTGCTTTTTTTTTAAAACATCCTAAAATCTCCTAATGCCATTATAACTCTTGAAATTGCAAATCTTTGATTCATTCATTTCGAAGATTTAGACAATGAAAAAAAAACAAAAGAGGCCAATCATCAAAGTCCACACAAACAGGAAATGAAATGGGGAAATGAAGAACAAGATCCTGAGGATAAAAGTACAATATTGTTTTTTTTTTAAGTAGTTAGAAAAAAATTAAATACATTTTTTTAAATTAAAGGAGAAAATAGTGAAATTTGAACATAGATGCAAGGCTCAACAATGAATGTGTTGACAGAAAGTTATTCTGAACATTCAATATTTCCAAACCTAAGTAGTAAGTTTAGCTGAATCTTTTGTTTTCAGTAGCAACCATCAAAAAAGATGTATGCTTTAAGTGTGACAATATTTATGCCCAGCATCAATTAAAAGAAAATAAATAGCAAAATAATAAGAATAATAAAAAGCAAATTTTAAAAAAATATATTTTCTGAGTTTCACAAATATGAAGTCAAAGATAATTTGGATTCAATCAGTAATTTTCAAAAATTATATTTTTTGTGACACATCAAACTCAGATGGAAATTGAATATTTTGCAAGTGCAAAGATAATCGCCATCAAAATAATAATTCTTGAAGAGATTAAGAAGGGTTCTAAAAAAATGATTTTAGTATTGTGTCCTATCAAAATTAACATTAGTATAGCGAAGAAAACGATGACTTACCTCATCAAACCAAGTGACAGCGCATCGTGTGTATCCTACGATGGAAAATGTGGCGAAAAAGAAAATCCCTTACCCAAAAAAAAAAGGGCACGTATGTCACATGACATACTGAAGATAGAATATTTTAATTAAAAGACAAGTCTGTCGCAGGAGTCGCCATAAAAGTATTTTGATATGCAAAAATTGATCATCCTCTCTCAGCTGTCGATGAATGGAAAAAAAAGCTCAGCCGATAAAAGCAGTTGGTGTTCACGAATCGGGGAGAAAAATTTGGGTATGTTGGCTACCGCATTTGCTGGAGAGTGAGTTATTTTTCTGACTAGTTGCATGCATTGTGAGATATACCTGCGAATTGAGTTTTCGGCATTTCTTTCTGCCCCGATGTTCAAGTCTGAACTTAGTGATTTATTCTCTGCATTGTGGAAGTAATCTGTGACAAATATTTCCTTTGCAATCCCAGATTGCTTACAAGCTATTTCGGCACTATGACGAACAAGACAAATATACGTCAAGTTGATACCCGAGTTTGATGGTTCAGTGACCGGACAAGCAGTTACTGAATGGATTCAGAAGTTTGTGACCTGTGTGGAATTAAAAAGGTTGAATGTGTTCTTCCTTTGAGGTTGACGGGCGGAGCATTTGCTGTTTACCAGCAGTTAAACTCAGAGCAAAAATCAGATGTCGAGCAGATAAAATGAACCCCGCAGATTGCCTTAGCACTGGATCGTTTCTTGGCTTACGAGCAGTTCGTGGAACGCCGACTGCACCCAGACGAATCTGTTGACATGTTTCTAGTCAACTTGAAGAAGCTAGCAGGTCTATTTGGCGGGATATCCAAGCAAGGACTAGCATGTGGGTTCATAGCAGTGTTACCAGCGCACGTCAAGCAACTACTCCAGGATGGAAGACATGAATACAAACCAACTGTTTGACTGAGCTCAGGCCATAATGAAAGATCAAATTGCAACCGAGGAAATGGTTGCGGCTACCATTTCAACAAACGAGCTGATAAACATTGGGAGGGTATGCGATGTTATCGATGCTCTGGGTGGAATCACTTTTCCGGGGACTGCCTGGTTCGACAAGAAGATGCCCGTCAGCCACGCAGGTCACGCACAACAATGTGTTGCTTCCAGTGTCAAGAAGTAGGCCACATTCCTTCATTGTGTCTGGGGAAAAGAGGAAGGGGAGAAGACGTCAGCACCAGTCTCTTCCCTAAGTGAGTTATGAATGAAGCGCTACCCGTCTTGGGTATTTACATGAACAGAATTAAGAGAGTGGCAATGGCGGGCACTGGCTGCTCACAGACACTCATGTGTAAGTCAGCCTGTCAATCCTGGTCGGTGACGGAGGTGAACATACTCACTGTAAATGGAAATAATCTCAAATGTTGCAGAGTTGGAAGTATTAAGCATGACATGGACAACGCAAGGGCCCTCAAAATCAGAGTCTTGGTAGTGGATGGAGAGCCATTGGGTTTTGACTTGTCGCTTGGGTTCAACGCCATTAAAAAGTTGGGCGGATGCCAAATAACAGAGTGTGGCAATGTACAGTTTCCCAAGCGTGGGATAGTCTGTTGCACCGCTATTAAAATAGAAGAAACCGATTTCTGTGCAGAATTCAACCCAAACTGTAAGATATGGGTCACATCATGGAAGTGGTCTGATGATCGATCACCAAACAGTTTGCGAAATCAGATGCCCGAGGACCCAATACCAATGGGAGTCAAGGAGGAATACGACCATGAGCTGTAGACCTGGCTTCATAACGGTTGGTTGCAGCCTTATCTTGAAAAGGAACTTGGTCCTCCAAAAGGTTTAATTCCGTTGAACGTGGTGCAGAAAAACAAAAATAAAGATCGCCAGTATTAGGCTATCAAGAGCTGAATGAGTGTATTGACACACACACAGCCAATGGTGACATCTGTGCACAGAAACTGAGGGAGTGGCGTAAAAAAGGACCGGATGTCGCTATCCTTGACCTATGGCAGGCCTATCTACAAGTACATATCCATTAGTCACTTTGGCCCTTTCAAACTGTAAGGGGCGAAGATATTGCTTGACCCGAATGAAGGCCACTGTGGACACCGTGTTGTCAAAAGACAAGTCAGTTCGACGGGCAACCTCATCATATATTGATGATATTTATGTTGACAAGAGCATGATTTCAGCAGCTTGCGTGAAGGAGCACTTGGCTGTGTTTGGTTTGACCTGCAAGAATCCGGAGTGGTTACGGGACGGCACACGTGTGCTGGGTTTGTATGTCGAGCAAGATAACATGTTTAAGTGGAAACATGAAAATGGCATTCCATCAGTTCCTGAGGTCCTGACACGACGTAACGTCTTCTTGTGGTGTGGAAAACTGGTGGGTCATGTTCCTGTGTGTGGGTGGCTTTGTGTTGGTGCATCATTTGTAAAACGCAGGACAGTATCGATCATGTCTGGCTGGGACAACGAAGTGACAGATGCTCTCTTTAAGAACATGATTGAGGACATAGCAGAGAGAATACACCAGAATGACCTTGCACATGGTAAGTGGTGCACAAGCGGACATGCTTATGAGGTATGGGATGATACAAGTTCTCTCGCCACAGGGGTTTCATTGGAGGTTGACGGAAACGTTGTAGAAGACGCATGTTGGCCTGCGAAAGGACACCCAACATATCAATTTATCAGATTTGGATGCTATTCTGAAGGGAATCATTTTAGCACTACAGTGGAGCGCAATGGAGCTACACCTCTTCACGGACTCTGCATGTGTGCACCGGTGGGTATCAAACATGCTTACTGGCAAAGCCAGAATACGAACTAAGACGGAAAGTGAGATGCTGATCCGGTGGCATTTGAGTACTCTTGAAAAGCTGATTCAAGAGTATAACTTATTGATCACGATAAGTTTAGTAACGTTGAGCAGATAAGCTCACCAGAGTACCGCAACGATGGTATGATGATATCAAGAAAGAAATTGAACCAACACGCCTGATATGTGCTTCCATGGTGAACAAAACCTCTCCTGATCAGACACGTACCATACACTGCAAGAGTGAACATCCTGGCGTTAGGAGAATGCTGTATCTTGTGAGATGAGTTTACCCTACGACATCGAAGGTGGCCGTCAAGGCAGTGGTCAGAAAATGTAAAGAATGCCAGTCAATTGACCCGGCCTCAAGTCATTGGCCTCATGGCAACCTAAGTGTGACTGAAATCTGGACCCGCTTAGGAATGGATATTACACATTACAGTGGGCAACACTACCTTACGTTAATTGATTGTGGCCCCAGTCGATTTGTGATATGGCGACGCCTACTTCAACAAGACTCAAGAAGCATCATTCGACAGTTGGAAAGCATTTTTTTTGAATGAGGCCCACCATCAGAAATCCTGACTGACAATGACACTGCATTTCGCAGTAAGTCCTTTAAAGATTTCTTGGATGACTTGGGAGTCCAACTTCGTTTTCACTGCACCTATGTTCCTGCAGGGAACGGTATAGTGGAAAGATCTCATCAGAGCATAAAGCGAATTGCAGCAAGAAAACAGTGTTCGATAATGGAGGCAGTATACTGGCATAATATCACACTGAAGGATGATATATCGTCAACTAATGCGCCTGCCAATATGATTCACCGTTACCAACTGAAAGTGAAGGGAATTACTACAACATTACCACCTGATCGTTGTATGAATCACAATATATACAAAGTATGGGTGAAAGCTCTCCATGGCTGGTGTACCTCCAGGTATCAAGTGGGTCGTGTGACGGACATTGTAAGTCCACAAACAATAATAGTTGATGGGATGCCACAGCATGTAAAAGATCTTCGCCTTTTCGTTAATTCTGATACACCACTGAGCCAATCCGATGATGGTTCATCATCTGACAGTGATCAGATAATTGAGATCTTCGAATCCAATGCTTCCACAGATGCAGAGTTTCCAGAAATTTGAAATACGTCTGATGACTCCTCAGGAGACGACTCTCTGACATGCATAAGGGAGATAGTTCCATTACGACGAAGCACCAGAATAAAGAGAGCTGCTCCAAGCTGTTTGATTTGTGATAATGATATCTGGGGGGAGTATAGCGAAGAAAACAGTGACTTACCTCGTCAAACCAAGTGACAACACGTCACGTGTATCCTACGATGAAAAATGTGGCAAAAAAGAAAATTACTTACCCAAAAAAAGGGCACGTATTCCGCATGACATGCTGAAGATAGAATATTTAAATTAAAAAACAAGTCCATCACAGGAGTTGCCATAAAAGTATTGAGCGTCTTTTCCCAGCTGTCGACGAATGGAAAAAATGCTCAGCTGATAAAAGCAGTTGGTGTTCTCGAATCGGGGAGAAAAATTTGGGTATTTTGGCTACTGCGTTTGTTGGAGAGTAAGTTATTTTTCTGACTAGTTGCGTGCATTGTGAGATAGTACCTGTGAATTGAGTTTTCGGTATTTCTTTCTGCCAAGTTCTGTTCGAGTGTGAACTTAGTGATTTATTTTCTGCGTTGTGGAAGTAATCTGCGACAAATATTTCCTTTGCAATCCCAGATCACTTACAATTAGATATCTTTGTTTTAATGAAAATTTTGTGCATCAAAAAAGGAAAATTGAAACTAGATCAGCACAATTGATAATGAAGTTTTCATCTCTTTTAACTAGTCTTTGAATAATAAGGGTATATAAAAAATCCTGAAATTAAAAAGAGTCTTTGATTCTTGACTTTGGTTAGACAAGGCCAAACCAGATCTGGTAATAATTATTATAAGGTTATTTTTATTCTATTCTTTTTCTGTGTTAGCAAGTTATAAATAATAAATGGATGATGTTTTTGTTCCCTTAATATATATATATATATATATATATATATATATATATATATATATATATATAACAGCGTTGCCCGTGCTTGATTCAAAAATCGTACGACTCTTACAACAATTGCTATCACTTGACTTAAAATATTTTTGCCATTCCTTGCCTTTAAAGGAGTGCCCTTTGTCCGTGTTGATACATGCCTTACGTCTTGCCTATCTCACACTGCAAATTTTTCTAAGCTCTATACTAAACATTAAATCTGTTACGAAAAAGAACTAAACAAAATGAACACAAAACGATCAGCTTTAAAAAAAGGACTCGAACTGGAAAAACCGAATGAAAAAGAATGTTAACAACAAATACTTTTTCCACCCAACCCAATTCTGCGGAATCAGAATCAATGTTGAGTTTAAACAGCCCGAATGAGCCAATTGGAGTAAAGTGCCATGCAGATTTAAATTTTTCCCACTTGTGACGAATGCAGCTATCAATTTTTTTTTTTGCATGCTAGCATGCTAGTTAACACTTGTGTCAGTCAGCTGTTGGCTCTCACGCTGGCCAGTACAAAATGGCCACAAACTACATGAAAACTGCCGTAGAAGCATGAAAAAAAATCAATTATTTCCACTATCGATGGGAGTTGGGAAATGCAAAGTCGGTTTTGGCCTTCCTGCTAACTTGGAGCATGCGCATGTAAATTTTGGTGCAAATCCGTCAAAAATTTGCAGCTGTGCATTCGTTACACACACATACACATCCTGCCTTATATATATATATATATATATATATATATATATATATATGATTAATACAAATATGAAATTTGTCACTTAGCTGATTGATGTTACTGTGAAAATATTGGGAAATGAGAAGGTGATGAAGAGCACAAAGATTGGTAATGTAATAGAAAAAAAATGCAAGGAAAACATTGAAGTTTTTGAAACTTTCTAATGCTTCATAACACAAGTATTCTATTGCCTATTTAAAAAGGATAAAAAAAAAAAAAATCAACAGCAAACCTGTTTTCCACTATGGATCCTATTTTTGCGAAGTATTGGCTGACTACCAGTTGTAATCCACACACCTGCCAATGTATTTGAATACACTTCATTTTCTTCAATTAAACCCTGACCTTTTTCATGCTGGAAAATAGACCAAATTCGACAGGACAAATGTTAACATTAAACAATATATATATATAAATAATTGCTATATCAGCAACGTTTATTTTACAAATTTAATAAGCTATTTATTAAAAAATACAAAAATATTAGTCAGAACCTTTATAATAAAATTAAAATTTCTTCTTGTTCAAAACAAATTTTCAAAGAAAATAGAAAAGGAAACAAGCAAAGACTTGATATACAGTTTAATGTTTTTAAGCTTTTTTAATAAACATAAACAATAGTAGTCAGATAAGGAATAATGGTTATTTTATAATTAATTTGATTTTGATGAGACACGAGCAAAAAAAGATATCTGGGAATGTCCAATAATTTTCTTTTACTTTCATTATCGATACTATTATCTTGGCTTTAGCTACTTTCAGAAAGTGTCTTTTTTAAGCATTAAATATTTTTTTAATATGGAGAGAAATACAATGCTGAGAAAACAAAAATTTCAAGTGTAAGGAATCTCAATAGTTGCAGTTGTAAGAACAGAATCAAGTAGAAAAGTTCACTTGAGCTTGACATGCACATTTCAAAATATACACAGATTTGTATATTATTTGTTAAGCTACAAATTTCTTTAGAGATTAACAATGGGATCAGTATTATATTTTTCTTGACAATTGTCACTCAGAGAAATGTTAGTATTTGATGTTAAAAGGTCAGTTGTTTTGAAATTTACTCAACATTATTTAAAACCATTCAGAGGTACACATATACACACACAGAGCCTAAAAAGATTTAATGTCAAATGAGTTATTTAAAGGCAGCAGATTCAATGAACATTAACCACCTCGATACACTGTAACTTTTTCATTAAAGCTTTAAAGATTTATTCAAGAATGCCACATTCAAATTGATAGTTTTCTGAAATACTTCTGGAAAGAAGAAATTTTTGTAAATGGCCACACCTTTTAGCAATGTAGCTTATGAGTTCTAATAAAAATTAGTGTCAATTGTTTCTCATGAATGGATTCAATTTATTAAAAATATCAAACTCTTTCATATTTGATGCTTATTTAACTGGAAATGTTAAAACTTTGTATAATTTTCTTTAAAATGTTGGTATCTACATTCAAGGAATGATAATTCAGTTTTGACTCGAAATGTCAAATCTAAAGAATGTTTTAACATAATGCAATAATTTTTTTTTTTAATCTGAAGAAATCTTAATAACAATCATACTTACCACATAAATACCTCCATGTTGGCCATGGTGGATTTTATTATGCCGTACTATTGGGTTACTATTTGTTCGTATTTGAATCCCTGCTAAGGCATTCCCTGAAGAAAAAGCAAAAAAAAAAAAAAGAATATACCAGATCTTCACTCCGTTTAATACAAGATTTGGAAAGGTTTTAACAAATATACTTCAAAAGTTGTATAAAGAAATTCTTTACCAAAAGAGATATCAAAGAAAATAAGTTATATTCATGTAGACATTCACCAATTGTAGTTTCATCTGGTAGAAAGTCAACTGGGGTAAGGAATAGGAAAAAGATACTGTCAACTTTTCAAGCAGGGATAGTCTTGAAAATCATAGCTTTTTACCAAACAGATTCAGTGATGGGAAGACAAATACCATGGACAGAACATATTAGCAAATTGGAAGTTCTAAAGAAAATGAGAACTCAAAAGGGTTTTATACTTACAGTTAAAAAGAGAGTTGAAATTTCAGGGACACATTATAAGGAAGAAAAAGCTTAGAAAATTTAATACACACTGGACATATTGAGAGAAGGAGGAGTAGAAGGAAACAGCATGCAACTTACTTATGTGAATGGATGGCAGAGAAGGGGTAAGAAGGGATGGTAAAGAGTCAAACAGTGCTTAGAGCTACAAACGACAGGAAGGTGTGGAGAGCCATGATCACCCATGTCCCTCCAGGACATGACACATAATGATGATAAGTCAGCAGAGAGAAAAAGAAGCCTTCTTTTAATATCCAAGAAGTTCTTAATATTCAACCCGGAAAAGAGAGAGAGAGAGAGAGAAAAAATCTCAGTCAGCTAGATTAATGTCCTTAATATCTAAACAAATTGAAAGAATTCCAATCTTTTGTACAAATAAGACAACCAACAGTTTTGTTATTTTTCTGTCCATGTGCTTCATTTCTATTGATGGAATGGCACAAAATACCTTGGTTTTCAGTGCTCACTGTTCTTGTTCCAAAAGTAAAATGAACCAAGTTCTTTATTTATTCTGAATATTGACAGAAAATTAAGAAACAAAGCTGATAAGGCACAATGATTTAGTTCAGAGGCAATTAATTAAATGCTCAAAAACAAAAAAAAACAAAGGCCAAAAGGGTGAAGTTGTTTTTAATAAAGTAATTAGATTAAATCTTTCTATTTGAAACCTGACACCATTTTAGTTTGTTGATTCTCTGAAACTGTCTTCTGGTAGGAATATTCTTCAAATCAATGTTGTAGTTTTCAATATTAAATGATTTTCAAATTATGTTAACAACATCTTTGAACACACACTCACTATAGTTTCCAGGATGACCACAATGAATTTCTTGCATAGTTTGAATTGGTTAATGTTATTTTTATTATTTACATTTTTGATTCATTTAAATTCAATTGCTTTCAAATTGAATTTCCCTTACTCAATTGCACATTTAACCTTACATTTCTTGGTGTACAATTTGTTTAAAATCTCTTAAATCTTTCTTGACATCAAATTAGTATTCACTAATACCAGGAGAAAAGATTTTAATAAATGCATTTTATAAATGACAATTTATTTTTAATTAAATCATGCTCTAATCTCTAAAATAGGGTGAAGTGAGTATGCGTATTGAAGTTTTTAAAAATTAAAGTTGCACCCCTGCACTTTATTTGAACCCCTCACCTACATTTATTAAAATTCCATGACAGTAAACAAAGCATGTTGTGAAAAATGAATGTTTATTGATCGTGATAGCGCACCCAGTTGTTTCAGCCCATTTTTTGATTATTTTTCTATCTTTGGAAAAAAGAACTTCTATATTTGAAATCCCAGTTTATTAAATTTGAGGAAATTGAAAGAGATTCCCTCTTATTTGATACCCCCCTCACTCTGTTTATTCGGGTGGTAAGAATACTTAGGAAAACTTAATAGAAATTAATGATGAAAAAAGTTGTAAAGCTGATAATTAACTTTGTTTTGTATGCTGATTACATTGATAAAAAATGGGCTAAAATTCAAAGATAGGTGTGCCTGGAAGCATTTCCAGTGGGCAACCCTGAGGTCACACTATGTTGCAGTATGTGCCAATTCCCAGCCAGTTCATGTTACATTTGACAACCAGCAGCCATTATTATTCGTTCTTTTCCACCTTTAAAAATATGCCATGAGCAAAAGCAATAAACCAAATAAAACTAAACCAGCTTGCCAAAAACACCTAATTCCCTCAGCCTTTCCTTATCTAACATTCGTCGTATTGCTACTGACCTCCATGGCATCCATATCTTGAACTTCTCTATTACTCAAATAGTAGACTTCTCCCCCGAGTTTCCCTAGTAATTCTGATGGACACTTCTCGATCTCTTCCTTACCTCCTCCCCGGGCTTATTTTGAACTCTGCAGCTCTGTTCTCTTGGTAAATCTATCCACACAGTAGTGTCTACAAATATCACTTTCCACTCTCCCATCAGTCATGAACCTCCTGTTAATCTTAAACATATTTCTGTTATCAAAACCACGGATTGAGACTAGTTTTGTGATTTTCTTCATGATGCTCTCTTGGAATTATATTTTTAATCATCCTGTTGAGAAATGTGCTACTAAGGTCTCTTCCTGAGTGAAATCTGGCATTGAATCTTTTGTGCCAGCATGGAAATACCAAGTGAAATAATATTCTCCTTGGTTCTCTGTTCAACCAATATAGCTCACAGGAATCACTTCTAGTTATACCAGAGCAACAGGTCCAATTGTAACAGATGCCTCTTTGTCACTGCTTGTAATGAGTGCAAGTGTGTCCTCAAAGAAGCAAAGTCACTATTTGCTGATAGAATGAGACATCATATAGCCTCTCACAAGTTTGGTTCTAGAGATTACTGGTGGATCTACAATAGTGTGCTCAACAAAAGCAAATCTTCAGTCAGTTCTCTCTTCAATCAATTTGAAGTATTGATATCTATCTATAGCAAATAAAACGGCGTGCTTTGCTCAGAAATTCTCTCCCAACTCTACATTCAACTCATCTGGAGTATCTGCCCAATTTTTACCTTAGAACAGACGTTCTATTGAGCGATATGTGTAAATATATTCCGTCCTCGATTTCTGCTATCATTTCTAAATTAGATCCACACAAGGTAAGCAGATTTGATGCTATCACTGCAGTCAACCTAAAGGAATGTGCTCCTGAACGAACTCCTGTTCTCTCCAAACTTTACAACAAATGCCTCACTGTTTCTTGCTTTCCAGTTTGTTGGAAGTTTTCTTGGTTTTTTTTAAGAGCTCAGGAGAACCTTCTGACTCCTTCAAATTATTGCCCTATTAGTCTCTTACTGCTTTTTAGCAAAGTACCCGAGGCTCTAATTAACACAAAATTGGTTAAGTATCTTATTTCAAACGGTCTAATTTTGAACAAACAATATGGTTTCCATTTCACCAGGTCTAGTGCCGATGTATTAACGGCCATCACTGAATCTGTCTATCAAGGTTTAGATAAGAACAGTGAAGCTTCGGCTGTGACTGTAGATATCTCATAGGTGTTTGACAGGGTTTGACATGATGGGCTTCTCCACAAGCTCAAGGGCTACAGGGTCTCTGGACATATATTTGGCTTAATCCAATCGTTCTTAACAAATTGTCTAATAAAAGCCATGTTGAATGGACACACTTCTAATTAATTTTATATTAATGCAGAGGTCCCCCAGGTCTATGATGTTTCTAATCTTCAATGATTTTCCCAATGTCATCAGTTCCTTACTAGGTATTTATGCAGATGATGCAACTATTTACTCCTGTCTTAATACAAAGTCCAACAGATCTGACAAAGTAAAACTGGCAACTGCTCTTGAAAAGGACCTCACAATCCATGATTAACTGGAGCAACAAATTGCTCATAAATTTTAACACTTCCAAAAAAAAAAAAAAAAAAAAAAAAAAAAAAAATTTTGATTTCAATTAATCACTTCAGTAATTTTTCTGTCTGCCATCAAGCATGGCTGATGCTAAACTCCAAGAGAGCAACACTCTAAACCTTCTTAGACTCACATTTTAGATTGACATGAAGTGGAGCGATTATATTGAATCAATTGCTACATCTGCAAGTAGGAAAGTTTGTTCAGTGTCATACCAGAAAATTTATTTTGTCAGTTTCCAATATCTGGTCCAGTGTTCCAGCTGTATAACTTGAGATTTGTGACAAAATTCAAAGAAGGGACTGTAATTTAATTGATCCTAAACTGGCATCTTAAACTTCAATCACTTTACCATTATGATGTGGCTTCTCTCTGTCTTTTCTACAAATATTTTCATCGCAACTGTTCTGACGATTTTTTTCCTTAGTGCCTCAACTACATGAATTTAAGTGTGCTACTAAATTGGCAACTAGGTCCCCCTGTTTTACTATTGAACTAGCTAGATGCAACCACCACTTTTCTTTTCTCGCACTTCACACCTACATAACTCCTTTCCAATTACTTGCTTCTCTGGAATTTTCTGTCTTCCTGAAATCCTTTTCCTTTATTGTCTTTTCCTCATTAAAGTCTTCTCATTCTCTTTCACTCCTTATAACTCTCTGTGTCCTAGTAGTATTATCACCTTGCCTGTAGTGAAATGATTAAAAAAAAAAAAAAAAAAAGTATGTCGTTTTAATTTGCATGTTGATTACATTGATCAAAAATGGACTAAAATTCAAGTGCAACAATTCATAGCCTGTCAAAAATTATTGATCAGTACTCACCATAAATATCATTATATTCTATCAAACCTCTTCCCTCTCCAAATATGTAGACACCACCTTGATGACCATTGAATATTTCATTTTTTCTACAAAAGATGAAAATATAAAATTATCAGACTCCTTTCATCTTGAATTTGTCTATAAATTTACAGAAGTAAATAAAGGAAATATATGTGCAATTGTTAACACAGTTCCTGTTCTTTTCTTAGAAATAATGATTTATTTATAATTAAAAAGACTAAATTGAAATAAATCTAAAAAAAAACAAAAAACAAAAAAACAAATCTGTGAAAGAAAAAAATATTACCTAATTGAGGGATCACTATTTGAAGTAATCCATACACCAGCAAAATTGTTGGAATGAATGCGATTTTCAATAAACTGTCCCCGACCGTTTTCGTGGACATATATTCCACCTGTTTGACCATGATGGATTTCACACCGCATAACAGTTGGGTTGGCTCCAGCTTTCACCTCAAATCCAGCAATACGGTTGTTATGGATATCATTACTCTCAAAGAATCCCTTTAAAAGAAGAGTACATTATTTAAAGATGTACTTATAATTTGAAGCAGAACTCAACTGTATTTTCACATTTATATACTCAAATTAACATAAGAAAAAAATATAATGAAGTCATTGTCTACTAAAAAGTGAAAATGTGATAATTCATTTATCATTAAGTACTGAGTTTGTAATTAGTTGGACATAATAGTATATCCAAAATTTTACCAATCCCATGAAACCTAGTAAAAAATTTGGGTTCTTTACCTTAGATATGACAATTAATTTTTTTTTTCAGTCTAAAGTCTGCAAATTTCATTAATTCATATTTGTAATGCTTGGCTTTTTATTAAGAAACCAAAAAAATCACATTAAAATAATCCAGATGGCAAACCCTCCTTTCTCAGATTAACAAATAGAATTATTTTTATACAGAAACTTCCTTCAGTTGATTAAGATGATTGTTCTATATTATTAGACAGAAGAAATTCTCTTAATCTCGAAAGAATAGAGAGACAACAATGTCAAACTCAACTTTGGATGGGAGAAATCGTATAAGTATTAAACTTATAAGTACAAATGTTAACATGGACATTTAACAGTGATAGCATACTGACAAGAAATTATTGGCATTTAGAGACTTTTGTACATCATAGCAATAAAGTTAAACCCCCATTTTCAAAAGTAGACAGAAAACATTTGAGAGATGGAAGATAGAAATTGAAATGAGGAATGAAATGGAATTGGCAAAAAAAAACAACAAAATGGCTTTGTCACTGCCTGAAAATGACTTAACTATGATATGAAAATATGTCATAGAAAAAAATGAAACTAGATTATGTTAAAAAAAAAAAAAAAAAAAAAAGTGGATAGTTTCAAAATCATTTTTACATTTATGGAAAAAATTCTAATTTTATCAGGAATAAATTTTGAAAGAAAGAATTTATTTAACCAAGCAAAGAAGTCTCTTAAAAAGTTCAAAGGCTTTGCATCACTGCAGAAATAAAATTAGATCCAGCATTTCTCACAACCCAGGAAGTCATGGTCATAGATAAATCTCAATGCACAAGAAGACACAGCTGGCCTAAAGGGTTCAGAAGGATGGATGGATGTTGGATTTAACGGCATGTCAACTCCTATTTGGGTCAATTTATGCCGAAGCCTTATTAATTTATGAATTTAAGTTGGTTATTTTGTATAAAAAGTTGAAAGGTTGTTGGGTTTCATAATTTTCTGTATTTTTTGGGATTGCTTTTTGTGACTGTTTCGATTGTGTATTTTACTGTTTACATTCATAGATTCATATATATGTCTACAAGCACATATATATATATACACTATTTATATTTTATTGAGGATTTTTATTTCCTTGAGAAAACTGTATATTTTTTCTGTGTCTGTATTTTTGAATATTTCTTTTAAATCTTTTCCATTGAGATATTTCTGTCTTATTCTAGTTATGATTTTGCATTCCGATAGAATATGTCTTATTGTGATTAGGCTTCTACATCTACATTTTGGTGGATTTGTCTTTTTTAATATGTGAGAATGAGTTAAATATGTGTGTCCTATATGTGTTCTGGTTATGACAACTTGTTTTTTCTGAGTATTTCCAAGATCATTTCCCCATTTTCCTATTTTAGGTTTAATTTGAAATAATTTATTTCGGTTTGGTTTTTCCATAGATTTTGCCATTTGTTTCTTATGTATTTATATATTTTAGATTTTAAGTCTGTATATGGAATTTGAAGATTTTCGTCAATTGTCATTTTTAAAGATGATTTAGCAGCATTATCTGCCTTATCTCCTCCTTGGATGCCAACATGGCTAGGAATCCAGCAGAAGATGATATTTTGCTTTTTTCCATTGAATGTAGTTTATATAGAAGACTTTGTATTAATGGATTTTCCAGTCTTTTCCCTTTTAGGGATGTTAATACCGATAATGAATCTGAGAAAATAATATAGTTTTCTCCTTTGTTTTTGATATGAAATTTAGTGCTAGTTTTATTGGTGTAGGCTTCTGCACTGAAAATTGATGCTTCATTTGGCAAGCGTTTTTTGATAATTGTTTTTTTGTTATTGCTGCGCTGCCTGTTTTTTTCTTCGTCTTTTGATCCATCTGTGTAAATACTTTCATAGTTTTGATATTTTTCTTTTATTTTGAGAATTTTTTCAATGTATGTTGTGGGGTGTGTTTTTGATTTTGATAATTTGTTTAAACTTAATATTATGTTTGGATTTTGATTATCCATGGTGGTATGTTTGATTGGTTGGTTTTAAGTATTTGATTAGACGGTATATTATTTTCTTGGATGATTCCTTCCATCCGAGTCCCAATGTTTTGATTTTATTTGTGTTAAGATTAAATTTCTCTTTTGATTTGGTGTAAGTACACAATTGTGTGTGGGGTTAGAAGGACAGGAAGAGAGTTTTAGATAGTATTGAGTAGCTAGTTTCTCCATTCTTAGTTGTAGATAGGTGAGGTGGGATAGGCTCCAGAGCTATCCAAAGGCCTTCATGGTGTATTGTGTTTATTGTTTTTAGATAAGACTTTCTAGTTGATTGGTAGACCATGCTGCCATAGTCCAGTTTGGAGCGGATCAACGTTCTATAAAGCTTAAGAAGGGTTTCTTTGCTAGCTCCCCATTCTGTATGGGCTACTGTTCACAGTAGTTGGAGAGCTTTAAAACATTTTGTTTTTAGGTAATTGATATGTGGTCTGAAGGTCAGTTTGCTGTCAAAGATCATTCCTAGAAATTTATATTGCTGAACTACTGGTATTTCTTCATTTTCTAGTTTTAGAGTTGGGTTATTGTGTAATTTTTCATTTGGCAGAAGTGTACAGATTTTGTCTTCGTTTTTGATATTTTAAAACCGTTTTCAGTGTCCATTTGTTTATTTGATGTAAACATTGTTGAAGTTGTTCTGCTGTGTTGAGATTTCTTGATCTGTAATATATTGTAAAATCATCAACATAAAGGCTACAGTGTATTCCTGATTTGATGTTTTTTATTATGTCATTTATTTTTATTTTGAAAAGTGTAGGGGAGAGTACACTTCCTGTGGTACTCCCTCTTCTTGCTTTTTGATAATCAGAACATGTAGTATCTATTTGTACTTGAAGAGTCTATCTGTTAAAAATCCTTTTTACGAAGTTTGGTAGTCGACCTCTTAATCCTAGTTTATGCAGATCTTTCATTATACCATGTTTCCAGGTTTGATCAAATGCTTTTTCTATATCAAAAAATATGGCTATTAGATGTTGTTTGTTTAAATTGGCCTCTCTTATGGCAGTTTCTAGTTTTATTATGTGATCTATTGTACTTCTTCCTTTATTATATCCACATTGATATTCTGATATGTGTTTTCCTTCTTCTAGAAACCAACTCAATCTGGCATTGACCATTCGCTCCATTGTCTTACATAGACAGCTTGTTAATGCTATTGGTCGGTAACTTTGTGGGTTGTTTCCCTTTTTCCTTTCTTTGAGTATATAGGAATAATTACCGATTCTCTCCATATTTTGGGAAATTTCCCAGTAGTCCAAATATTGTTAAAAATATTCAAAAGGTATTTCATCGATTCTTGTGGTAGTTGTTTAATAAATTCATAGTGGATTTGGTCTGGGCCTACTGCTGTATTATGGGATTTTTTTATGGCTTCTATTAGTTCCGCTTCAGTGAATAGGTTGTTGTAGGCTTCTGTATTTTAGATGAAAAATTTAATTGGTTATTTATATCTTTTTGTTTACACTTTTGTAGGTTTTGATTTTTGCTCATTTTAGAGTTTTCTGCAAATGTGTCTGCTAGTAGGTTTGCTAGTTGCTTTAGTGTTGTCCTTTTTAAGATGTATTATTGGGTGTATTTGATCTTTTCCAGCTATTTTCCTCATCATTTCCCATATTGTCTTGGTTTTAGAATGTGTATTTAGGCTGTTTACATATTTTTTCCAACATTCCCTTTTTGGCTTCTTTTACAGTTTTCCGTGCTACTGCTTTGAGTTTCTTCATTTCAATCAAATTTTGGGTTGTGGGTTCCTTCTTGAATTTTCGCAATGCTGCTTCCCGGTTTCTGACTGCTTTTTGGCAGTTTTTGTCAAACCAGGGTTTAGTTTTTTTATAATTATTTTGCTTTTTTTGGTATATTTTCTGAGGCAATGGTTATTAATGTTTTGGTAAAGTATTCTACCGAGTTGTCTGTGTCCTTTGACTGTATCAGTACTTGTTTACATTTGTTTTGAAACCCTCCCAGTTGGCTCTTTTTTCAGTTTCCATCTGACGGGGCCTATCTTTTCTTCCTTGGCAGGCTTTTGATTTTCTAGTATGATCGGTAATGATCACTGCCACATGTGTCACTATGTGTTTTCCATGTATAATCCATACAAATTTCTGGATCGCTTATACTTAAGTCTATTGATGATTCTGTTCCATTGGAGGGATTAAGGTAGGTTGAGGATTTATGATTTAATAGACATAAGTTATGGGTGTTAATTATTTCTTCTAATATTTTACCTTTAGTATCTAGCTTTTTGCTATTCCATATAGGATTATGACTGTTAAAGTCTCCTAGTAAGATTCTGGGTTTGGGAAGTTGCTCCATCAAGTTGTTTATTTCTGTTGTATTTATTGGTTCCTGTGGGGGTATATAAATGGAAAGAATTGTGATGGTTTTATCTAGTGTCACTTGTGTTGCTATTGCTTGTAATTTAGTTTTAATGTGTACTTTACTTTATGTATGTCATTTCTGATCAATATTGACACTCCTCCATTAGCTCTATGTCCTGTATTGTGGTTATAGTGGTATTGTTTATAATTTTTAATTTTTAAGTTGGTATTTTCTTGTAAAAAAAAGTTTCCTGTAAGCAGATGACGGCTGGATACAGTAGTGACATAAGTATGAGTAGGTCATTGTAATTTGATTTTATTCCACGACAGTTCCATTGCAGGATCTTATGTGCCATGATTATATTTTCATTTTTGGGAGTAAAGTTACCTACTAGGTTGGTATCATTTGTCCTCTCCAATTTTTTTCCATCTCTTGAGTTTTAGAAGCTTTGTCTTCAACTGCTTGTGGTGTCCTTCGATCAGATTTTTTTGAGTTTGTTTTGAATTTTGTTTATTATCTTTCTCTTCTATTTCTATACATTCCATAGGTTCAAATTTATTTTCATTTGATATACTGATTCTTGATTTTGAGTTAGATCTTGATCGAGTGCTTTCTTGCTCTGTTGTCACTTTTTTTTTCTTTTTTGTTTATTTTTCATTTTCTTGGTTTGGGTTTGGAAAAGAAGAGGGTTCGCTGGAGTTTTGTTCTGTGTTTTTCTTTCCAAAGTTTTTTGCCTCCTTCTGGGTTTATTCCATTTGATCTGGGTTGTTGAGTTTTATTTTGATCCGATTTAAGTTCGGTTAAAAAGGTTTTTAATTCTTCAAGGAAAGCTTTTAATTCCTTACATAGATTTGTTATTTCAATTGAATCTTTTATTTTATCTTCATTGTTTATTTTATTTGCTTTTTGTGCCATGGAAGCATATGTGTTTTCTTTTATATTATTTATAACTTCCTTTCGTGCTTCTATGCAAGATATATTTTTTTTGTATTTTATTCTAATTATTTCTTTCTCCTGTTTATATATATTGCATTGTTTTGAGAGGGCAGAGTGGTTTCCCAAACAGTTTGAGCATAGGCTCTCATTTGGGCAGTTCTCTTCTTTATGTTCTGGTTCTTTCTCACTACATTTCCCACATATTTTTTTTATTTCTACAGGAATCTCTGTGATGCCCAAATTTGTGGCATTTATAGCATTGTAGAGGGTTTGGTACGTATTGTTCTACTTTTATACTTTCATATCCAATTTTTTATTGAAGTTGGAATTTGGGGGAGTTGAAAGTTATAATGTAGGTATTAGTTTGTATCTCAGCTCCATTTTTTTTTAATTGTTATTCTTTTTTAACATTTGTAACTCCTTGAGTTTGGAGTTCTATTTTATTTCCTCTAGAGTGCACAAGGAGAGCTCCTTACTTTTTACTACTCCCTTTGAGAAATTTAGGGTTTGGTGTGGGTAGGTTTTTATTTCTATCTCTTGTAGTTTTTTTGTCTGATTAATGTGTCCGCATATATTTTTTTTTTACTTCTATTAGTATTGTTCCATTTTGTAATTTTTTAACTTTTTTTTGGTATTATGATATTTGATATTGCTTTTTGTATTTTAAACGGAGAAATTTCTGATAATGATTTTTGGCTTATTGCTTCGAGTACAATAAACCGTGGAAAGTTTTCACTTTCATTCTCTGTTTCTGAGTCGTTATCCACATGTGGTCTCTTGGAAGATTTCTTTTTTCCATTGATTGTTTTTATTTTTGTTCATCATTCTCGCTCCCTACCCACCACGGAGTCCAGATTGGGACATGTCAAGGGGGGGAACCCATTCGCCTTTGCCATGTCGGGGCTACGTGAATGATATACTTTTTGGGAGGAGTCTTTGAGCACGCATGTTCCTTTTTGTTTCCGTTTTCCAAGTATTACGGCTGTGAAGGTTTAGCAAGTGTGTCAGATCCTTTTTCCCCCAAATTGATTGACCCTCAGCCACCGCTTCCATCACATATTTAGGGTTAAGTGTTAGTTTTGGTTGGGAAGAGGAGTGTCAGTTATAGGTTTGGGTTGGATTATATATGATGGGGCTTGACATGACCAGCCGATTGATCGGATCGGGCCCCTCCGACCGCCCGTCTAGCCCAGGTAAGGGCCAAAGTGGTGTGTTACAGGATTGTGACCGCTTTACACCTGGGTTACAACCTGCTCAACCACCAGGATCCCGTCCCCAGACATTACGGGTCGCCACCCACGGCCAACAGGTGGCCCCATTGAGGGACTTTTACCCTCTGCAGGGGGGGGGGGCAGTCGGCGTATTCTGATGCCCCACCGACCGGGCGAGGTTCAGAAGGTCTTCAAATTAAAGAAACCAAAAAGCAAAGCGTAGTGAACGTGACAAAGGTAAATGAATATAGCAAACCATAAATCCAAAACGGCCCAGTGGCTATCTCTTGTTGTGTCATAGATATGGATCATATCATTACCTTGTGAAAACACATGGATGTTCTTACAAAAATGATTTAACAACCCAGCAGAAAAGGTGGTGCTATTCACAGGATACAAAGGTGAAACTGAGTGCCAAGGTGAAGAAGCAATTAACTGTGCAGTCTTTGATAATACAGCCTGTACTTGAACGGTTTACTGTAAAGGTGATTGCAGTGTTTACTCGACAGTCTCTCAGAAAGTGAAAGAGAAAGTATAACAAAGGAGGTGAGTCAAAAACTATTTAAATTTGGTGGAAGTAAACAATTCAAATCCCACATGTTTCGTTGGTCACCTCATGAAATTACTGGTAAAGATGTTATTGCTGAAGTTAATGACGTGAACTTGGCTATTCCCATGTTGTAATTATTTGGTGCAATTTAAACTATACATCAAGTGGTCATTACTGCATCTCATTAGGTAGAAAAATGAGTGTAAACATTGAAAAGGTTCACAATATTGTCTTGAGTTAGCTTCAACAAATTGAAAGAAAGCCATTCTGAAATTACATTGGCAATTCATCCATCCATTGATTAAAAGCAATTCTGAAAGATGCTAGAGGCTGGGTTGATGGGTACCTCAAATAAATGAATTAGATTTAAGATTCCTGTGGAATATGTAAACTTTATAGAAAGACACCAGTTTGGCAAGTAGTTAACTTGTTTATGGCAAGCAGATGCAATGAGAAAGTAGCAACTGATCTGAAGAGTTGGAAAGGAAAATACATCCTGTATATAATTAATATATTCACTAGGCTTGGTGTGTCAGCGTTCATGAACCAAAAGACCACAAAAGGAGTATCAGAAAATATTCTGTAGCACTGGATTGGTACAGGATGGGGAGTCATGGAAGGAAGTCACTTTGATGAAATGCATGAAATGGCAAGTCTACTTAATATCATAAACTCAACACCTGGTGCAAGTAGATGAAGTAATGACTTAGGTTAAAGAAATCAAATTATTGACAGAATGTTTGAAATTTTAGTAGAAGAAAATCCCTCTATGAATGGAAAAACATTCCTTGCTTGGGCAAATGTTACAAAAAAATTCCTTACAGATGTGAAATAGTTTCAATAGCTATCAACTTGTTTTGGGTAAGAATCCAAACTTACCCAATATCACAACAGAGAAGCTTCCAGTACTGCAAGCTGTAACTTCTAGTGAAATTCTAAGGACCTCTTTAAAATACCATGGACTCAGTAAGAAGAGCCTTTATACAGTGTAAAACTGGTGACAATATCTGCAGAGTATGATGACATCAGATTACAGCAACAGAAGTACTCTTACTAAGGGAAAATGTCTTCTACAAGCACAATGGAAGTTAACAAATGGCTTGCTCCAGCAAAGGGTATAATTCAAGATGGTTAGACGGTGAAACATATGCAAGAATCCACAAAGAGGCTTATCAAAGACACACCTCATTCAGAGGATACCATCCCTTAGAAAGGGACTAAAATAACACAGATCAGTTATTCAATATCATGTAGTCACAAACAATAATGCATAATAACTTATAGTACAAATGAGTAAGTGATAAGGAAAAAGAAAACAATGACCGAAACTCAGCCAGAGCAATTATGACAATCAGAATCTACTCGTCTCCAAGCTCTTGAACCACAAAAATTTCCATTAAAAGTGAATTCAAAATTCATGGGAAGAATCAATGAACATTATTATATTATATTATATTAGGGAGGGTTGAAAAGGCAAACTGCAATGAGACATTGGTACAATATTGAAGTAGATGTGATAGGGATCAGGAAAAGACTGAATTTGCAGAAGTTGAGTGCAGAAAGACAGATGATGTAGACATAGTTTTCATCCCATTAAAAAATATATAGAAATAAAATAAATAATAATCCATGTTAAGTTAATGTCCTCTCCAAAATTGTGTGTTTGAAGTGTTGTCTAGAAGAGCTAGTGGTTAGGAATTTGTATAAGTGAAGTATTTAATTAGCCAATCATATTCTACTATCTTGTTATATATGCTTTCCTGTTTCCTTGTGAAAGAAGGACAAACAATGAAGCCATATTGAACAGTTAATATAGTGCCCATGTCAGTTTTAAACATAGGCAGAAGGATATGTTCTTGTTTTGAAGCAGACAATGTGTTTTTAGTAAACATTATCAATTGCAGTATGACTTTACCAATGAGTTTCAAATTAATTCTAAAAAGCTTTACAACTTGTACATTTTTATATTTACTTGAAAGAAAGAAAGAGAAACTTACTAATCCATTATCAAAAGTGAATATGCCTACATCTCTGCCATGGTGGATGTGATTCCGTCTCATCACTGGATTGGCATGATTTTTTACCCAGATCCCTGCCAAAGCATTTCCACAAATTTCATTATCTTCATAGGTACCCTGAGAAGAAGAAAAAAAAAATCATTCAAATAAATTTCAATAATTTTACTATTTTTTTAAATTGCAAAAAAAAAAAAAAAAAAAAAACAATAACCTGCTCTGTATCGAAAAAATAAATGGTAGCTGTAAACAAATGTTTTAAAAGAAACCAAGTCAACAAATAAAAATACTTTTAAACAGATCAAATTTAATCATCTGAAAATGTCATTGATTTAATGCTATATTTCTTTAATTTTATAATAAGAAAGTCATTTATCATTCAGTATAGAGTCTTCAGTCTATCAACACAAAAAGTTAGACCATTTTTTTTTCTATAATTTCATTTTTATATAGGAAATAATTATCTTTTATTCATTTATTAAATTTGGTCTGGAAAAATGAAGAACAATCAGCTCATTTTTGTAAAATTATAAAAGTATGAAAGATTTTTTTTTAATTCATCACCTAAGAACGTCTTCTCCTTCTGGAAGAAACACTTGTAAGACAAAAGAATCTAATATCAAAACATTAACATTAAAAAACAAAATATCTTTTCTGTAATTACTATAAGAATCTATCAGACCAAAATGTTTTTTTAAATTTTTGTGTCAAGAAAGCAAAATCAAAATTACTTCTCATTCCTATCAAAAGTTATAAAGGCTAACATTTTGGAAATTCATTTTGCTCAAAATACTATCATCTCAACAATTTTTAATAAAGCCAATCCATTTTTTTCTTTTTTTAAAAATTTTATGCAAAACAATTTAGATTTTACAAATCTATAATTATACACTTAATGGACAGATATCAATGAGGGAATTTATGAAAAAAACGTATAAATATATTTTTGCTCTTGAAATAACTTTGGCCATTATTTTTTAGTCCAAGATAAATAAATTGAGCAAATCATGTGTCTCATTAGAAAATACGACCAAAATATTATGAGAACAAAGACAGGAACAATAATAAAAAGGAAAGAAGTAATAAATGTTGATTTAAGAAATCAATACAATTTGCCACCTTATTCAATTATTCTAGTTAAAAATAGAAAAGAAAATTAAAAACAAGTTTGCTGTTTCTTGCAATGACATTGTTGAATCTAAAGTACTCCAAAGTATTGATAATCATTTCCTTCTTGTCAATATCATCTCACAAAATCAGTAAGAGAAATTTAATTTGATAGCAATAATATTTCTCAATGTAGGAACAATAAGATACAGTATCATATTTGTTTAGTTTCTCAATACCACAATCAATTTACACTTTGTTTCAATGTATCCAATCATTTCACCTGGTGCATTCACATCAACAGTCCTAAAGCATTTTGCAAAACTATGAACTATTCCTACAAAATAGATCATGTGACTGAATATATAGTCATTTTTACTTTTTATTTGCAGCTCTTTTAGATGGTGATCACTCATTCAAAACTGTAACATCTTGCATGACTTCATTCCAGCTATTATAATCATCTCAGTTTAAAACAAATTATATGTTCTTTATACATACTAGTGTTTTTTTTTAAACTGTTCGTTTTTAAATAAATAAAAGCAAACAATAACCATGTAAAAACTAAACTAAAAAAAAACTCCAGTCTAAGCAGGCACTACAAACTCAGTTTATTTATACTGAGCAAACCATTGTGCATATAACCGTTGAATTTAATGAAATAATTACTTGTAGCACAAACCTTTACAATAGTGTAATTCCTATATTGCATGTGTTAAAATAAATGCATTTGTCAAAGAAATTAAAAGACAATTGAAACTCTAGTTGAAGAAAGCTTCAACCAAACATTTTATATAAGAAGTAAAACAATGAGAGAGATGAACCATCATAAATATTTCTGTTCACCTGTGCATGATCCGTGACATATAGTCCCACATTCTCACAGTCCTTAATAATACATTGTTTGAGATGAGGGTCAGCACCCATACCTGAGACACAGACAGCAGCACCAACTAAAAAAGAAAACAGATTTACAAAATTGGTTTTTGCAATTTGAAACACAATCAAGTTTCTTAATTACACTTTACATTATATTTGCCTAAATAAAATTCTCACTTTTATATCTTTAATTATGATGATTTCTAAATGTTTCAATTTCTTCTAAAATTCAAATAGCAACTACGGTAACAAAACATATTTTTGTAATGACCTTAAAAATTTTTTCAAACTCCCAGTTGTCCATTCCAGCATTTTTAATTGAACAATGCTAAATTTTTGAAGATTAACTTTTCAAGCTTTATCAAAATTAACTGAAAAAAAAAAAAAAAAAACAAACACCAAAATACTAACAAATTTCAATTTTAAGATTTGAAAAAGTATATTCAGCTAAAGTATGTGCAAAATTCTGAATTTATGCAAAAATCAAATGTATAAAAGAATTGCTAACTTACCCACTGATGTACTCTTAATTCGACAGTGATCAATGGTAGGTGAACAGTTGTCTTGAACTTCAAGCGCATAGTGTTTGTGATGAGGAACAGATGAGCTACTATCAGGAGAAAACTGAAAGGAAAAAATTCTCTCAATAGTTTTGCAGATATTAGATTTAGAAGACTATCAAATCTAAAATCAAAACAAATTTAGTGACATTAAAATACTGTAAGGAATATTGAGAATTCTATGAACCAAAATTTGGAAAATATTCAAAAAAACAAAAAAAAGTTTTTATTTATGATTGTTACTGTTATTAAATCACTATGCCTAATGATGAATTTACAATACCATTTGAGAAAATATCTCATAATTATTATATCGATGAGATAAGATCATGTATATATAAAATGTTGATCTTACTCACTTTTATTGTCATATATCCAATGTATGCTTCTTTTGCACCTTCAGAAAATACCACTGTAGATTTTGCTTGGCGTTCAATAATAACATGATCTATCACATTCCCAGGAGCTGAAGATGAATTAAAAGATCATTAAATGATGGCTGTCATTTAATAAAAAATAAATTTTAAAAAAATTATTAACAAAAATCAGTTTCAATTCTTTCAACTGAGTTTTTAATTAAAATTAGCAACTGGAGATACGAGTACTTAGTTTCAAAAGCAAAATGATAATGCAATTATATACCATAAGTCATACTGAAGTCAATTTTAGTTTTGAACAATTTAGAAAGAACTCTTTTTTTTTTTTTTTTAATAATTATCAAGGTTAGTTTTTTTTTAAAGTTCAAATGTCAATAAATTTTTCCATAATTTTTCCAAGAGTTTCCCTGAAAGTAAATATTTGTTGGCATACCTATTAGTTTCCAATGCAGCAAAGAAAGTTTGAAATTTCCAAATATGTAAAACACACTGCATCTAATTTTTTTTCATAAATCTTAAGATTTCTTCATGAAGCCAAGACAATTTTTCTCAACAGAATCTATCTTACATATAAGTTCACAATTCATCCTTGCTTTGAATATTGCTGACACATCTGGCCTGGTGCTTCTGCTATATATTTAAAGATTCATGATAAAATCCAAAGAAGAATATACAACGTTATTGGTCCTGAATTGGCATCTTGGCTTCAGTTACTTTCCCACCCCAGCATAACGTAGCTTCCCTGTGCCTTTACTCTAAATACTTTCATTGTTCTGATGAACTTTCCTCTTTGGAAAGTAGACTTTATGAATTTAAGTACAGTACTAAATTGGTGGCAAGATCTTACCGTTTTACAGTTGAAATGGCTAGTAAGTAATCATAGGTTTTATGCTAACAGTTTTTTCTCTTGCACTTCTTGCTTGTGTAACTCTCTTCCAGCTTTCTACTTCCCAGTCAACTTGGATCTTCAAAAATTTAAATGCAATGTCAATCATCATCTTCTGTCTTCTTAATTCCTGTTCTTTTATTGTTCTTTCTCCTTAATATTTCCTTTTTTCTCTTATTCTCTAACGTTAAGGTATCCCCTTGCATCTTAGTGGCTTTACTACCTTACTTGGGGGTGTAATTATTAAAAAAAAGATTTATGAGGAGAAATTCAAGTTAAAGTAACTTGAATTTTTCTTCATAAATCTTTTTATGGAGATAACTTTACATATAAATTTGAAAGACTGTGGTTAAGGAATTTTCTCAAGAAACAGCTTTTGATTTACATTGTTTCTGATTATAGTTACAAAATATTGCTTATTATAGTAAGTGTTCTTTGAAGAGTTGTTTTAAATAAAGCCTTTACCAGTGTCAAGTTGCTGAAACTATTTTAGATATTTTTCTCTAATACAAAAAGAATTAAAAACAAAAAAAAAGTGATTAATTACAATGACATCTTCAACTGAGACTGAAATGCTGGTTCTAAAATTGTCATTCTGATACATGGATTCAGCTTATTGGCTACCGGACTTAAAAGGTAGATTCACAAAATACCCAGGAAAAAAAAAATATTGGATTTTTATATCTTACAATTTTAATATAAAAAGACATAAATGTTCGTTTGAAAAAGCACAAATAAAAGGAAACATACAAAGTGGTTTATAAAGAGATTATTTACCAGCTCCAATCACAGATATATTGCTCTCAATAGCAAGGTATTCTCCCTGGTAAATGCCAGAGTGAAGAAATATCAAAGGATTTACTTGGTCAACATAAGAAAATGCTTTCTCAATAGTATCAACACACTGAAAGAAAAATATTTAAAAGTCAAATTAGTGGATACAATATTACAACATGACACAAGTAAGTTTATACCATAATTAATAAAAGTTCATTATTACAAAGCAAGTCTTTAAACTTTGCAATTTAATATTAAAAGCTAAACAAATTAATAATTCCTCCATAAATTTGTATCATCTCTGTGAATTTTAAACAACAGAATCAACCAAAGAAATATTTCAAAAATAGTTTAAAAAATTATTGACAAATATCATATCACACAGAATCAGTAAGAACAAAAAAGACTATTGAACAGAGATTTTCTTTCTATACTAATTATTACCAATTTATTTCATGTATTTGAGGTTATATAAAAATGAAAAAAAACATTTACATTCACTGAATAAAGCTATTCCACAATCCTGGTCATCCTTTTTCCTTTTTAAAATATATTTTGAAAGCAGCAGTAAAATTGGTTTTCAAAACATTTATCCTCCAAAATAATTCTCTTTAAGATTCAGTGTCCAAAATCATTAAAATAAAATACAAACTCACCAAAATGCTTCTTCCCTTCAGACGTTTTCTTTTAGGATTATAGAAATGTAAATAGCCAGGGCGTACATGAATTCCATGATACTGGAAAGAAAAGAAAAATTAAACATTTAATCTTTCTCAACACACGTTTTAGTTAAGTTTCATTGTTGTGCTAAATGTTTCATAGTATTTGACTGGTTTAATTTTCTCATCAATTAATATCACATTTGATTTAGTTGATTATTTTCAGACTAAAAGATCTGGGTGACTGTCAAGGTGATGAGAATGTTTTTTCATGTGTTAAAATCAGCACTCTTAATAATTTACTTATGTGTCCAAGTCACCATTTTGTTTGTTTTTAATTTTTGAAATATTTTGTTCATATACAGTATACTCACCTCTATTTTATTTGATAATTTATTTTGATGCTAATTATGTTATTAGAGAAAAAAAAATTTCCTTTGAATTTTGTCTCATACAGATGTGACAATTGGGAGCATTAATAATTAATCTCATATTTCTAAGCTGATTTAAGGGACATTATTCTTTTTAAAAGGAAAATTTTCCTAATCAGATTCACTTTTTTTTTTATAAGAAACCCAAGTCGACATATCCAGATCATTAACTTACAAAAAAAAAAAAAAAAAATTTTGTTCTGGCAATTTGATTGATTTGAGATGATTCAAATTGTTTTTTTTTTTTAGGACAATAGTTAAAAAAAAATAAATTTGAATCTCTGCAACTTTAGTTGAGACCCACTGAATTTCCCAAAGGACTCACTCAAATCACCATCTGTAGGACAATAAAAAAAAAAGAAAAAAAAAGAGATTTATGAGGAGAAATACAATAAAAACTTATCAGCATCATATGTGTGTGTATTTCACACACAGGTGTGTGTATGCGTGTGTATATATAAATAAACCACTTCAGTAAGCATATCTTTTATACAGAGAAATGAAAAATAATTTCAAATCAATTCGGTAGTATTTTCTAAAGCATTTATAAAACTTAATTTATAAATTATAAAAATATACCACTGTTTTATATATTCTCTGCTTATAGTAGTTGCCTTGTTTCATTGTAATTTCTCTTACTAGTGGTAAGTGTTATGATCTATTGCACAATAACAAATCTAATAAAAAGAATTAGTTGCCTTTATATCAATGGATTCTCATTCTCTAGCTTACCAAGATCCATCCACAATATGGTCAATATCAGATAAGCTCTTATATAAATATTTCATATATTTGGAGTAACAATTTCTTCATTTTATTGCTTACAAGAAAATCACTTACCCAACTTTATATCATACATAGCATTATACAAGTGATTAGATCAATCTTTTAAAAAAAAAAATAAAAGTGATGGCAATTTAAAATAATCAAATTAAGTATTAACTAACAAAGTACAGAAAAAAGTTTCTTAAAAAAAGAAAAGAAAATGTAATGATAATTATGAAGATTCTTGACTTTGTAAACTGCTTGGAAATATAATATTTGAAATACAATTAAATTTCCAAGGAAGTTTTATTAGTTAATAATAAGAATAAGCTATGTCAAATTTCATTGTGCAATTCAACATTTTCACACAATTCAAATTATATTGTTTAAATTTTCAGAATATATTTATATAAATATCTTATGAGAATTTCAACTTATATGATTTTATTAGAAATATTTATAATAATTTATTTGGTGTGAGATCTGATGATCCAATGAGTTGTTCATCATATTGTAAATAAATATATATGATAGTGAGCAAATAAATGATAAGAAAACTGTATATTGATGTGTTTTATTGCAAAATAATAGTTTTATTGCTGGAATCAATCTTTTATATAAAAGAGAAAAATGGTGGAATACAGCAGACACTGGTTACAGTTTACATCAAAATATTAATATTACAAATGTGCTTGGCATTTAAATTTTAATGGCCACACTTTTAAACTTAGCCTAATTCATGCAGCTGCTAATCAATTTTATTTCTATTGTTTTTCATTGTTCCACATTACCATCAACAGTATTCTCATGAAGAAAGGAGATAGGTTGTATGATCCTGGACATAAACTTATTCCAGAAAATTTTGAAATTATTGTACTTTGAGAATGGAAAACCATATTCTTGCAAAAATCTTGCAAAAGCAATAAAAACTGCTGCAAGAAATATAGTCAAAATATTAGAAAAGTTAACAAAAATGAATGATGGTTATAGAATGTTAAGGGACACACAAAAGATTTTATTCAAGTGCATAGGATATTGTATTAAACCATTTCATTTTTACTTTGTAAAGTTGTAAGTGTTCAACAATGTACTTCCAGGAGTAGTATATGTACTTATTCAGGGCTGTAATGCAAGTTGTTGTATGATTATGAACATTGTATGAGGGGAGATACAAACCTAAACACCCCATGATACCAAAAAGCAAATAAAAATTAACACCCTTCAAGATTAGCATCATCCCAAATGAAGATGTGCACGCAAATTTCTTGTGTTATAAATGATCAGACATAAATTGCATCAAGTCTGGAACTTTTCATTTATCTTTTTAGTGTTGTTGATTTAAGTTTCAAAATAGGAAAAGTAAGTTTCGATAACAGAATGAAAATTATCAATCATAGAGAATCATATAGAATCCATTAAAATAGACTAGGTTAAGTGGTTTCAATGTTGGGATACTACTCACAGGATCATTTTGATTTTGAGTAACTTAAGCTATGACATGTATATTTAAGTGATTGTTATCTTGGCCGAACAATAAACATTATCCAGTGATGTATTCAAGGCTGTTTTATCATTGTCAGTGTGAAACCTGTGAATGGACCCAGTGTGTGTTCTTTTAATGCCATAGCACTTCTGTGAGTGGGAAATACATCTTGGTGGTTGTTATATAAATCTCACAGTTATTAACTTCTACAGAGGTTTGTTTGAGGGTATGTGCTGCTCTATTTTTTTTTTTATGGGCCTATATATATATCTCCAAATGTAAAAGAATGAAGAGTAAGATTTCAGCATTCAAAACAGGGTTCAATACAAAAGTAGAGTAATAAATATTTATTTATTATGCAGTGTTACATTAGAACATGTACATACCCACTACAAAACTGTACATCTTGTTTCAACATTAAAAAAAATTTTTTTCTAACATTTCATCAAGTGGGAAATAACAATGCTACTAAAATACTTCATTCCGAAATGTAGTTAATGAAGAATATCTTCCACTTCCGTCAATGGAAAGTTTCCCATAAAAGGTAAAAAAGAATTTACATGTGGGGAGAGGAAGGAAGTTAAGTGATTAGTAACAGTGAGAGAGAGAAGAGAAATAAGAGGAAAAAAGCATAGAAAAGGAAATAACAGTTGAAAAAAAGGAAGAACAAAGAAAAAAATGGAGGGAGGTGAGATAAACTAAGAAGGAGCAAATTCAACCAATGGAATTCCGTTGAATCATAGAATTTGAATTTTAACGTTAACCTAGCAGGGTTAGGTTAATGTTTCTAAGACAAAAACTTCCTGTGCTCAGAGACAAATATTCATGGAATGTAAAAGAGTACTACAGTATTTTATGAAACGGATTTTTTAATATAGATAAGAATACTAAACCAATTTTAAATCTTTATATTGTCATATTAATTATACTTAACCAAATTTTACTTCACAATATGAATTAGAATACTACATACATTTTAAACTTTCGTATTATGTCTTTTTGTTTTTTAGCATAAAACATTATTAAAGAGAAAAATAATTCAACTGATATAATGAATAAATTTTAAAAAATAAATAGGTGGTGAAATTGAGATAGAAATAAAGGTAAAATAACATTAAAATTAATATTAACCTTCAAATTTCAATAAATTAAGTTGGAAAAGGGAATTGATATTATTGCATATAGAAAGGTAAAAAAGAAAAAAGTGAGATATAGATGAGCTTGGATCGAAACCTAACCGATTTGGCGCCAGTCAGTTTTTTGGGGTGGGCAAATTCAAGGGCTGCCACACACTATACCTACGCTACTGTCTCAGGTAAAAAAATTGACATGTTGGTACTGTAGGGAGACTGCTTACCTCCATGTAGTTTTCTCATGAAAGAAAATTCTCAGGAAGGTGGCAGTCAAATGAGTCTCCTTAAAATAACAAAAAATGTGACGGTACCAAGTGTCAGAATGGCAAGATCTTAGTCCCTTTTGGGCCATCAGATTTGACAATTTCAAAAGAGACCCTCATGGCTTAAGAAAAAGGATGACCCCTTCTTGGTAAGATCTAGATTAAAAATAATACCTGCTGATATGAAATATGGCTGTAGACTTTTATGCAAAAGAATGCTACATAACATATCGCCAATATCACACCACCAGATGGATAACAATTTCACATCTTTAGATTACTACCAGAAGCTTTTAACCAGGAGGCCTGATCTGAGTAGAGCTAAGATTGATGCCTATTCAACTAACTTTCCTTAACTCAAAGTGACTGAAGCAGCTTAGTGAGGGCTCCATGTCAGAGGATAAAGTTTGGGAAGTGTTGAAGGAGGTCAGAAGATGACTTCTCATAAATGTATCCTTGAAATAATCACACATTTGCTCTTTTGCTCATACTTGATCAATAAATGAATGAAACAGAGGGGTGTGGTGAATTTGTCATGCAAGAATAAGATTAATACTTCTCCCCCTTACCCACACTCATTTTTTAATGCTATATCCCTTCAGAAGATAGGCTCTCCACAGATTACATTTCTTTATTATCTGTGAATTGCTATGATTCCTAAGGAAAGATAAGGGTTTCTCATTACTTTCTCCGTGGTTTTGATTTCATAGTCATCCTTCTCCTAGACTAGCCATCCAAGTCTATCTGGAAAGAGCTGGAAGAGAAAGATTCATACTTTTCTGAAGGATATCATGTGAAAGTGAATACAGCAGACCAGATCAGACCAGAAGAATTTGAACTCAGCTTGTAGATTCCACTTTACACACCAATTACCATTACACTACATGCTCATTTTGGCCATAACTATGTCAAATTCAGAGAGAAAGATTTTGGTTCAAACTTTAGCAAACTGATTATAGATTTGGCTAGATCATCTCATAACCCCTGAACAGACTTGCACTGT